CCCCAAAACCCCAAAACCCCAAAACCCCAAAACCCCAGAAAGCTAAAACTTGGTTGAAACATCAGATAGCTTACATATTTTGGCTCATAAAGGATATACTAAGACCGGCTTTTTGTTCGTAAGAATTCAGAGCCAGTGATGAAGCTCTTGGGAAAGATTTTAAACAGAAGGAAATCAGTAGGGATTCTACTGAAAATATTGATGAGCTGACGTAGGAAGAAAGACCATAGTTTTAGAAATTGAGGTTTAATAGTTATTTTGGTTCTGGCTGCCCCATATGTCTTGGTTGATATAACTATCATCAAAAGCAGATCTTTCTGCTGGGTCATAGGGCTTAGGATATGAAGGAAGTCTTTGGGATGGAGGGTTTACTGGGATGAAGCTAAATGGATTGTAATTTCCATTAGCCATTGAACTCTTGACTCTGAAAATAAACTCAAAGGACTCTCCAAATCTTCTTCCTTCAGCATCAACAAGGTAGAAGATATAATAATACTTTCCAACCTGCTTTGGGTTTTTGATCTTAACATCTAAAATAATCTCCTCATCAGGATCGATTGTAACAATGTTAAGTTTGCTCTCAATGAGTCATTTTCCTCCAACTTCAGCTATTCAGGGGTTAAAATGATAAAATTACCTTGATCACTCCATACTTTGAAGCCTTTGGGCCATGCTATGTTCCCAGTATTCTTCAGAGTGACAGTCAAGCATATATCACTACTGATAGTATTAATAGTATAATCCAATGGTGGCATCATGTTTGTACAAACAGCTTGACAATTTCTCAGATTCTCGTCAGAATACTTTTCAGATTCTTCAAGATAAAACTTGTTTTGCTGCTTTTCAATGAAGCTTTGATTTACTTTGGCCTGTGGGATATAGAAGTCAGATCCAAATTCATCTTCCTTGTTCTCTTCTATAGATTCTTTTTGCCTATTTTGTAAGCATTTGGCGAAATTAACTATATCTTCAGATGTTCTCAGCTTCATGAGAGGATGTTCATGGATAATAATAGAGTCACAGTTACTACACATGTTGAAGTTCGGGCACTGAATGCAGAAATATCTTATTCCTTGTATTTTGGGGCTCTCACAAATATTGCATGGAATAGGAGGGCCTTCTTTCCTCCCTACAAATGGCTTATACGTGATCTCCTTATGCTCTGATTTTTTGTAAAGAGTATTTTCAAAGTCTTTCAATTCCATTATTTCTTTCTGTCTTTTAGCTTCTTTCTCTCATTTCTTTGCTTCTTCCTCTAACTTTCCTTTTTCTTCTTTTATCTTATCAAAAATTTCGATTTTGCTTTGATTTTTATCAGCGAAAGAATTTTCTTTAACATAAGTCTCCTTAGAAATCTCCATTTTGGGATCCTTTTCCTGCTGAATCTCCTGTTTCTTTAGTTCTATCTCTTTGGGTCTCTCTAGGAGCTCTTCCTTCAACTTATTTTGAAGGAGCTTCTGTGGTTTACTCTTTTCATCTACTATCTCTGCAGAAGACTTGGGTTGATCTATCTCAGATTTAGATTCTTCTTCACCTTCACTTTGAGCATCGGAAACTAACAGATCGAGTTCATCCTTCTGTTCTTTCTCTTCTACTTCTTCAGAGGCTTGCTCTTCTAATTTCTTAGAGGTTTCAAGATTTTTCTGCGGTTCTTCTGATTTGCCCTCTGCTTTTTCTTCTTCGCAGATCTTTTTGGATAACTTGTCAAACTCAACTCCGAGGCCTTGCATTACATCAGTGAGCTCGTTGATGGTATCGAAGTAAGACTCACAGTATGAGTTGTAGGAGGAGGCTCTCTGGCTTAACTTTGGCTCCTCTAAGTTTTCCACTTTAGGATCTTCAACATAATCTTGTGGCACATTCTGAGCATTTTTGGTTGACTTTTTCTCAATTCAGGTATCTTCCTTTTCAATAGGTTTAGATACTTTTATTTCCTCCTTTTTGTCAGTATTCATCTGATTTGTCAAGTCAGAGACCTCATCAAAACAGGATTGAGTGAGGAAAACTGGCTGAACATCTTTCTTTACAGGAGCAATTTCTGAAAACATCAGTCCTTCATTAGAGCAGACCTTCTCGTCCGTATTCTGGCATTCTATTTGCTCTTCTTTACTTTCTATCTCATCTGAACTTTCTGTGAAGACTAAATGAGAGAGTTGATTGATATGGACGGACCCAATCAATTTCTCTCTAACCATTAAGTTCACGTCAGTTCCTTCATCTATACGTATTATTCAGAAGGTTTACTTTTAAAATAGGCTACAGCTTCATCAAAATCTTCTTGTGAACTAATTGTTACCCGATCGCCATCTTCGTCAAGATATGTAATTGAGAAGAGCTCTTCTTGGTCGATATCATTTGCACCAGGATTTTCCTTAACAGGTTCACTGTCTTTCTTAAGTCTAAATGATGATGATATTTTCTTTAAATGCAATCACCGACCAAATTCTAAAAGAACTTACCTTAAGATCACTTGGCTGATAAGGTTGTTATAGTCCGTGACTTCAAGAGTCGCTTTTATACCTAAATTTATTATACCACATTCATTCAAACCCAACCTGATCAAAACTCACCTAATTCACTCGTAAAATTCACAACCACAAATCCCTTGGGCATTTTTATTTCCATATTTATTATACAAAGTTCAGCTCCTTTCATGCTTTAAGGGGTTTTGGGGTTTTGGGGTTTTGGGGTTTTGGGGTTTTGGG